TATTTTATTATTAACTTTTAATTTAAATTCTTTAAATTATCTAAAGTCTTATTTAAATTATAATTGATGTTATTACTTACGTATCATTATAATACTTCCTTCATTTCTCTTTCCACTTTCGAATCTGCTTTATCTAATTTAAATTATTTCCAATTCACATTTCCCTTCTTCCTTCACTTCTCCTTTCCCTTCTTCCTTCATTTTTCCTTTCCCTTCTTTCACTTCTTCTGTTCTCCTTTCTGTTCTTCCTTCCCTTCTCCTTCTCCTTTCCCTTCTCCTTTCCCTTCACATTTCCCTTTTCATTTCTTCCCTTCTCCTTTCCCTTCTTCCTTCATTTTTCCTTTCCCTTCTTTCACTTCTCCCATTCGTTTTTCTGTTCTCCTTTCTGTCCCTCCTTCCCTTTTCTCTTCCCTTCTTTCTTCCCTTCTCCTTTCCCTTCTCCTTTGCCTTCTTCTCCTTTCACTAATTTCCCCTTCTTTCTTCCCTTCTTTCTTCCCTTCACATTTCCCTTCTTCCCTTCTCCTTTCCCATCTCCTTTCCCTTCTTCTCCTTTCACTTCTTTTCCCTTCTTTCTTCTCTTCTTTCTTCCCTTCTCCTTTCCCTCAACACTTCCCTTCTTCTTTCGCTTCTCCTTTTCCTTCTTCCTTCATTTTTCTTTCCCTTCTTTAACTTCTTCCGTTCTTCTTTCTGTTCTCCATTCTGTTCTTCCTTCCCTTCTCCCTTCCCTTCCTTCCCTTCTTCCTTCATTTCTTCCTTCCCTTCTCCTTTCCCTTCTTTCTTCCCTTCTCCTTTCCCTTCATATTTCCCTTCTTCCTTCCCTTCTCCTTTCCCTTCTTCCTTCACTTCTCCTTTCCCTTCGTCCTTCCCTTCTCCTTTCCCTTCTTCCTTCATTTTTCCTTTCCCTTCTTTCACTTCTTCCGTTCTTCTTTCTGTTCTTCCTTCCCTTCTCCTTTCCTTTCTTCCTTCACTTCTCTTTTCTCTTCTTCCTTCTTCCGTTCTTCTTTCCCTTCTCCTTTCTCTTCTTCCTTCCCTTCTCCTTTCCCTTCTCCCTTCATTTCTTCCTTACCTTCTTTCTTCACTTCTCCTTTCTCTTCTTCCTTAACCTTTTCCTTCCCTCTTCTTTTTCCCTTTCCTTTCTTTCCCTTCCCCCTTTCCCTTCTCCTTCCCTTCTCCCTTCCCTTTCTTCTCTTCCACATGTTCTGTAGCTCTTTCTATTACAGAGAAAAATTTCACATATTTTGGTGGCAGCAAGTGAACGGCTTCGAATTGTAGTAACGAGCGGTGGGGACGCGGCTTCGCAAACACACAGTCCTAGACGCTTGGGAAGTGTTCGACTTGTGATTTTGTGATACGAAATCCAGCATATAGATCTCGTTTGCTGTGAAATACTGTGTTTTATAATAATAATAATAATAATAATAATAATAATATACATCACACAGTCCTAGATGCTTGGGAAGTGTTCGACTTGTGATTTTGTGATACGAAATCCAGCATGTAGATCTTGTTTGCTGTGACATACTGTGCTTTTGTGTCAATAATAATAATAATAATAATAATAATAATAATAATAATAATCACACAGTCCTAAATGCTTGGGAAGTGTTCGACTTGTGATTTTGTGATACGAAATCCAGCAGATAGATCTCGTTTGCTGTGACATACTGTGCTTTTGTGTCAGTAATAATAATAATAATAATAATACATCACACAGTCCTAGACACTTGGGAAGTGTTTGACTTGTGATTTTGTGATACGAAATCCAGCAGATAGATCTCGTTTGCTGTGACACACTGTGCTTTTGTGTCAATAATAATAATAATAATAATAATATATCACACAGTGCTAGACACTTGGGAAGTGTTTGACTTGTGATTTTGTGATACGAAATCAAGCAGATAGATCTTGTTTGCTGTGACATACTGTGCTTTTGTGTCAGTAAAATAATAATAATAATAATAATAATACATCACACAGTCCTAGACACTTGGGAAGTGTTCGACTTGTGATTTTGTGATACGAAATCCAGCATATAGATCTCGTTTGCTGTGACATACTGTGCTTTTGTGTCAATAATAATAATAATAATAATAATAATAATATATCACACAGTGCTAGACACTTGGGAAGTGTTCGACTTGTAATTTTGTGATACAAAATCCGGATGTGCCCTTGGTTTTCACAGAATCCAAAGGAGTTGGCCTACGTTCTGAGGAATCGGCAAAGAGTGGTACAGTTGACGTAAGCGTTGGGACGTTTGGTCTTGAAAGGGTATCATCCGCCCGTCCAAATTGAATTAACATTACTCACCTGCTCAAAAAACAACAAACGATTAAGCCATTGGGATTGCCAAAGGCGGGGCGTCCCCACCCGACACGGGAATCCGCTACTGTCACCGTCTAGTCCAAACAAAGGACGGTTCAGACTAGTTCAAAGGGAAGGGAAGGTTTCGGGATCATCCAGATCCAGGTAAACATTGACGTAGACTCTCAAAAATGCGTTGGGCTTTCTCTGGAAGGCAGAGATCCGCCTCTGACTCACCGGGAGAGTCAACCGGGCTTCCATCAATCCTCTTGCTTAGTTGAGTGATGTGTAACTGTTCTGTGACTTCTGGGAAGTGTCCGCACAGATGCCCTGCCTTCCTTTCCTCCTTCGAAGCAATTTTAGGAGAAGACTCATGCCGTTGAAGGTCGCCGTGACGGGAGAGGGTTGGAATGCAGGGCTGCGCATGGGATGGCTTGCTTGCCTCGGCCCGTCCGTTTCCCGTCACTATAACAATGAGCAGACAAAGGTTTGCCGGTTGCCAAAACACTTCGGAACATTTGCCCTGTGCAAGAGGAATCTAGTGTAAGATGGGTATATGTATGTATGTATGTATGTATGTATGTAAAACCACCCCTGATTTTAAGATGTATCCTGGTTTTGGAGAACTTTCTTAGGGCGCTTCCGGGCAGCACCAAATTGCGGGTTTTCCACAAGGAGCAAAAAATCTGGTTGTGCGGACCTACTTTCAGGTTCCAGGATTTTTTGCTCCTCGGATCAATACCAAACTTGATGACACACAGAGCACCCATGACCCACTTTATATTCTGGCGCAGTTTGGGAGGGATGACAGACCATGAATGATGGGATTTGCAGTACCTTCACTCACTTCCAGAGACCACTGCAACACACACGCATGATGGACCTGGACCAAGCTTGACACACAGGACCCCCCACCCCAGTCGTGGGAATATCCTGGTTCCGTCCAGAAAATGCAGATATTCGAATCTGTTCAAGAGGAGGATGTCCCTCCTGCAGAAGCAGAAGTTTAATAAACTTTCCCCATGTTTTTGTGATCGAACCAACCAGGAAATGGCATGTCTAACCCAGGAACCGAAATGGTGTGACACAGTGTAATCCCAGTGGTCGGCCACTCTGCTGCTAATGGCTTTTTGCTTTTCCTGTCCGTAAAGCCTGCTTTGGCAGCGTTTTCTGTGCTCCGGCGGCGCTCTCCTCTCCCGCCTTGGTGGGAATGAAGGTCCGAGCCAAGAAGGTTGGAGAAAGCAGCTGCCTGCCGCAGCAAGACGGAGGGCCCGCCTTGGGCCCCTTTTCTTGGCAGGCCTCCCTTCCCAGCCCATCTTTTCCCTCTTTCTTTTGTGCCAGGAGGGAAAGGAAGGCGATGCCGTGGCCAAACCGCTGCCTCAGCATCTCTCTTTCTCCCGGCAGGGCTGCTTCAAAGTCAAGCGTTGCTATAGGACATCTCACATCCTTGGCAGCCCTCTTGGTGAAGGATGCAAAGTAAACAGAGGCATCCTCACGTCTCTTTGTTTGGTTCCTCTTCTTCCTTCTTATTGTATTAGCTGCACACCCCAGCCACATATAGATAGATAGATAGATAGATAGATAGATAGATAGATAGATAGATAGATAGATGCATAATAAAGTGGCTGGGGTGTCCACTTAAACAGGCAAGCTCCCACCACTCAGGAGACTCCAAAGCCCTCCCTCCAATGACCTTGCATGAACATGTCCCAGAGCCCTGCCAGTGTCCTCCACAACCACCACACTGCCAAGGAATGCTTTCATTCGGGGACAATTCCATCCTAGATTTGATGTGTTTCTTCCACCAGACATCCCAGTGTTCCTTACTCTCTCCATTGATGAGGAGTTTGCATGCACATGTCTCAGAGCCCTTCCAACGTCCTCCACAAATGCCACATTGCCAAGGAATGCTTTCATTCGGGGACAATTCCTCCCTAGATTTGATGTGTTCCCTTCCACCACAGATATCCCAGTGTTCCTGACTATCTCCATTGATGTGGAATTTGCATGAGCATGTCCTTGAGTTCTGCCAATGTCCTCCACAACACTACACTGTCCACTACGAAAGAATGTTTCATTCGGGGACAATTCCATCCTATATTTGATGTGTTTCTTCCACCAGACATCCCAGTGTTCCTGACTCTCTCCATTGGTGTGGAATTTGCATGAATATGTCCTTGAGTTCTGCCAATGTCCTCCACAACACTACGCTGTCCACCACCAAGGAATGCTTTCATTCGGGGACAATTCCATCTTAGATTTAATGTGTTTCTTCCACTACAGACATCCCAGTGTTCCTTACTCTCTCAGCAAGAGCCACCTGAAACTTTGGAGAGTTTCTGTTCAACCATCTCCAAACTCCCTGGTTGGGTGGTGATGGCAGGATCATCAGCATAGATAAAAATCTCTGTCCCTTCTGGCAGTGGCGGATCATTTGTGTAAATGATCAAGTGGAGTATATGTACAATTGTGCAAGGCTGGGGAAAAGTGTTTCTTTTATAGCAAGGTGTATTTCACCTGTGTTTCTCTGGATCAGAAGGTGGGAGTCTGCAGGCACATAAATACCTCTTTGGCCACCGACCTCAACTCAGGTGCAGGCTTTTCTGGGAATCTCTTTTGAGAGCCATTCGGGTTGATATCTGCACCTACTTTTTCTCTGCCTACGAATCGTCATTCCTGTCCTTCTCGTTTTCTAGATGGGAGGAGGAGCTGGCCAAGCGGATGAGTTTGGAGTCCATGGTGGAGACGCTGCAAGAGGTAAGCTTGAGTCTCACCTGTAGTAAGTTTGACTCTCCTGAACATCTCGGGGCCCAAGGTTTGTACAAGGGGAGGCCGTCAACCAAATAGCCTCGACCTGAACCATCTAGGGCTGTGTTTCTCAACCTTCCTAATGCCGCGACCCCTTAATACAATTCCAAACTTGGCACACAGAACTCCCATGACTAACAAAAAATACTGGAAGTGTCTGATGGGCATTGACCTTGATTTTGGGAGTTGTAGATCACCTACATCCAGAGACCATTGTGGCCATCTGTCGGGAGGTCACAGAGACTCTGTGAGAAATCCTTGAAATAGAGGCAATGTCGAAGGCATGACTTCATGGCTTGTGGATCTTAACTAAAGTTTTGTGTATTGAAAGGGTCAGAACAGGCAACGCTGCGTTATCGTGAACACCTTGGGTCTTGTTCTACGTACAAGTCTACACTTAAGTTTTTTGGGGAAGTTCTGTGTTCATGTTCATGGATTCATGCTTTGGAAGAAGTCCCTGTGTTCCTGGTTATGGATTAATGCCTATGTTTTGTTTCCTGGGTTTTTCATGTACCCATAGTACTTCTGGACTCTTGTGTGACACAAAGGTGAATCCATACCAGAGTACGGGGGAATGTGTCCCTGTTGGTTCTCCTGGATCTCAGCAACTTTTGATACCTTTGACCATGGTATCCGTCTGGGTTGTCTCGCCAGGATGGGATAGATCTGGACCAAACTGGGCAGTGATAGATCTGGACCAAACTTGGCACGAATACTCAATATGTCCAAATGTGAATACTGGTGGAATCTGTGGAAAATAGACCTTGACATTTGGGAGTTTCAGTTGCTGGGATTTATAGTTCACATACAATCCAAGAGCATTCTGAACCCCACCAACTATAGGGTTGGGCCAAAGCTTCCACACAGAACCCCATGACCAACAGAAAATACTGTTTTCTGGTGGTCTTTGGTGACCCCTCTGACACCCCATTGCGATCCCGACCCCCAGGTTGAGAAACACTGTTCTAGGGCTTCAAAGGTCATCACAAGTTTTTTGAATTGTGCCCAGGTTAGGGTTGGCCGATGGAGCTACTGCAACAGGGGGGTCGAAAGAACTACAACCAGACGCAGTAAGCAACCTCGCTGTAGCTCTTTAGACTAGGGGTCCTCAAACTAAAACCCTATTCCCTGATCTACCTTCCAACCGACCAGGAGCACCTCTGTCTTGTCTGGACCAAGTTTCAGTGTTTTTGCCTTCATCCCATTCATTACTGATGACAGGAATTGGTTTAGAGTCAGGACAGCTTCCTCGGTTTTAGGTGGGAATGAGTAGTAGAGCTGGATGTCATCTGCATATCTGTGTCACCGTTCCCCATCGTGGTCCCTGTGAATCGCACATATGGTATTTCCTGCGCCTGTGCAGACAGTTCGGAATTAAAGTAAAATAAAATAGTAAGCATTCACACAGTCCAGAAACGCTAGTCAAAGATGAAGAAAAATGAGAGAAAGATTCCCACTGGCTATATATACTCTCAGGAGAGTGGGCGGGGCTACCGCCTAAAAGTGTCTTAATAAGTTTTCTAGAAGATTCCAAACTGTTTGCGCAGGCGCAGGAAATACCATATGTGCGAATTCACAAGTGACTACTCGGGGAACTACGGTTACAGGTAAGCAACCTATATTTCTCCAAAACTCTGGATGGACTCTCATGTCTATATTAAACAGCATGATGGGGGACAAAATGAAACTCTGAGGAACCCCACAGTTTAATGGCCGGGGGTCCGAACAGGAGTCCCCCCAGCACTACCACCTTGGTATGGCCCTCCAGGAAGGAGCGGAGCCACTGTAAGACAGGGCTTCCCAGTCCCATCCTGGCGAGACAACCCAGACGGATACCATGGTCAAAGGTATCGAAAGCTGCTGAGAGATCTAGGAGAACCAACAGGGACACATTCCCCCGTACTCTGGCATGGATTCACCTTTGCGTCACATAAGAGTCCAGAAGTACTATGGGTACATGAAAAACCCAGGAAACAAAACGTAGGCATAAATCCATAACCAGGAACACAGGGACTTCTTCCAAAACATGAATCCATGAACATGAACACAGAACTACCCCAAAAAGTGTAGACTTGTACGTGGAACGAGACCCAAGGTGTTCACGATAACGCAGCGTTGCCTGGTCTGACCCTTTCAGTACACAACACTTTAATTAAAATTCACAAGCCATGAAGTCATGCCTTTGACATTGCCTCTATTTCAAGGATTTCTCACAGATTCTCTGGGACCTCCCGACAGATGGCCATCCAGTCTCTGTTTCAAAATAACCAAAGAAGGAGGCACCCAAAAATTCCACTAAAGGTGATCTAAACTGATCTCTTTTGATATCACACACACAATTTGATCTCTCCTGACAGATGGCCTCCCAACCTGTTTCAAAATAACTAGAGGAGACTCCCGAGAAGTTCCACTAAAGAAGGTGCTCCTAAAGGTCGTCTAGACTGACCTCTTTCTATATCACAGGCACCACTCAATCTCTCCTGACAGACGGCCATCCAGCCTCTGCTTCTAAATAACCCAAGAAGGAGACTCCCAAAAAGTTCCACTAAAAAAGCTCATCTAGACTGACCTCTTTCTATCACTCAGGCACCATTTGATGTCTCCTGACAGATGGCCCCCCAGCCTCTGTTTCAAAATATCCAAAGAAGGAGATTGCATTCCATTAAAAAGGAAAGGCACTCCCAAAGGTCATCTAGACTGACCTCTTTCTACCACTCACACACTCTTCGATCCTTCCCGACAGATGTCCATCCAGCCTTTGCTTGTAAACCTCCATAGTCTATATTCCAATGCCATTGAAACTGGCAAAGGAACCCACAAAAGTCATATAGCCTTTTTATTGTTCAGACACCATTCGATCCCTCCTGACAGATGTCCACCCAGCCTCTGCTTGGAAAACCTCCATATGAGGAGACTCCAATGCATTCCCTGGCACTCTATATTCCATGTGATTGCAACGGAGCTCACAAAAGTCATACAGTCCCTACCTCTTTCTGTCATTCAGACACCATTCGATCCCTCCCGACAGATGCCCATCCACCCATAGGAGGAGACTCCGATACATTGCCAGATGATCTCTATCCCATTCCTGTCTCAGCCCCATTCCAACCTTTTCGTTGCCGTTCTTCCTCCATAGGAAGCGCAGGAGGCCGAAGCTCTCCAGGAGGAGCTCAACGAGAAGATCGAGAGGCTCAAAGCGGAGCTGGTGGTCTTCAAGGGCCTGATGAGTGACGTAAGTACCCCACACGTGTCACGATCTTCTCTTTCAAAGCCATCTCCACAGCTTCCTGAATGAAAACGTTGCGATGCCAGCGAGCACTGCTTTGCAGAAAGTCTGGCGGCTGCCTGGTCCAGCGACCCAATGCATCGGGCCGATTCCCTCCTGCCTCCTGCTCCCTGTTTGGTCTGTGTCGATGCATTCAATGGCCGCTTTCCACCACCCCCAATGCTTTTTTCACCAGCTAGCCTTGCTGCACCCCTGGAAGGAATACACGGGGCAGACCACCAATCCGGAAGGGGATTTTGTCCTTTGTCTGTAAAGCAGCGAATCTCAACCGGTGGGTTGCGACCACTTTGGGGGTCGAACGACCCTTTGACAGGGGTCCCTCTATTTTTCTTTTTCGCTCTTTCTCCCCTCTCTTTTTCTACTACTACTACTACTATTATTATTATTATTATTATTATTATTATTATTATTATTATTTACAGTATTTATATACTGCCTTACTCACCCCTAGGGGGACTCGTTGCTACTTCATAACTGTAATTTTGCTACTGTTATGAATCATAATGTAAATATCTTATAGGCAGGATGTATTTTCAAATCCCAAATACCCAATATATGGGTTGGGAGGGGATTGATTTTGTCATTTGGGAGCTGTAGTTGCTGGGATTTATAGTTCACCTACAATCAAAGAGTATTCTGAACACCACCAATGATGAAATTGAACCAAACTTGGCACACCGAACTCCCATGACCAAGAGAAAATACTGGGAAGGTTTGGTGGGCATTGACCGTGATTTTTTGGAGTTGTAGTTCTCCTACATCCAGAGAGCACTGTGGATTCAAGCATTGGTGGAGCTGGACCAAACTTGGTATGAATACTCAATATGCCAAAGTGTGAACACTGGAGGAGTTTGAGGAAAATAGACCTTAACATTTGAGAGGGATTTATAGTTCACCCACAATGGAATGACTTTTTGAACCCCACCAATGATAGAATTGGACCAAACTTCCCACACAGAACACCCATGACCAACAGAAAATACTATGTTTTCTGATGGTCTTTGGTGACCCCTTTGCACCCCCTCGCAAAGGGGTCCCGACCCCCAGGTTGAGAAACACTGCTCTAAAATGCTACATACATCTACTGTCTGAAGGCTTGGTCCCAGAACCATGATTCTATTTTTTTTCTAAAAGCCAGGAGGAAGGGAGCAGATCATACTTCATTTGGGAGTGTGTTCCATAGGCAGGGGGCCACAGCCGAGAAGGCCCTGTCTCTCATCCTGGCCAGATGCATTTGTGCTTTGACAGGAGCAGGAGTAGGGACTTAGATTACGAGGTGTTCTATCCCTTTCTTTTCTTTTTCTCTCTCTCTTTCTCCCTCGCTTTTTCTCTCCCTTTCTCCTCCTCTCCTACTTTTCATATCCTTCCGTCTTTCTCCTCCCTTCTTTCTTCCCCTTCGCTTCTCCGTCTTTCCCTTCCTTTCTCCTTCTCTTTTCTATCCATTTCTTTCCGTCCTCCTCCCCCCTCTTGGTGGTCTTGATCAAAACAAGGTTGGGGACCACTGCTTTAGACTATGGACTGTTGATTATGAGAAAGATGTCCTGTGTTACCTACACAAAGAAAGTCCTTCAGATCCGATCTGTAACTGGACTGATAAGCCATGTACCTATAGGCCGAATACATGAAGTTTGTGAGTAAACCAACTATGTTACATTTGACGAAGTCTACTTATTTTTGGTCTCTTGAGAGCAGGATATAAACCAATATGTTTTTAAGGGAGAGAAGATGTTCCTTTGGCAACTGAAAGATCACTTCTGAAACTCTGCTCTCTATATATGTATGTTGCTTGTGCGCTGGCATATCTTTGTCCCTGACAGTTCAAAGACATATCTAGGTATATCAGTTTAACAGCTGAGAAACCTAATGGCCTTGCACGAATGCTGGTGGATATTTACCACTGAGGAGAAGGTTGACTCATGCGAGTTTGTAACTCTTCTCAGGTCTTTTACATACAGGATGATTTATTTATTATTTGTTTATTTATTTACAGTATTTATATTCTGCCTTTCTCACCCCGCAGGGGACTCGGGGCGGATTACAGTGTACATATACATGGCAAACATTCAATGCCATAGACACGCAACATATATAGACAGAGACAGAGGCCATTTAACATTCCAGCTTCTGGCCACCAGGGGAGCTATCACTTCACTGTCCATTTGTGACACTGATGAAGTACTTCCTCATTCTTTTCATACTTCCTGGAGATTTTTGTGCCTTTGTTGATGCTTATTTCTTCTGATGGTTGGCCGTTGATCCAAATAGTGGCTTTTTGACTGCTTCTATGGCATTCATAAAGTGGTGACCGATATCTTTTGCTTTGAATAGTGTTTTCATAAAAATCCCAATTCAAATTGTCAAACGCCTTCTCGGTGTCTATTGCTACTAAAGCTAGTTCTTTTTGATGATGGGTCTCATAGTATTCTATCACATCCAGATTTTTATGGGCTCGTAAATTAGTTAAATTTGCCTCCCCGCGTAAGTGGTACTTAAATTTCCTACTTGACAGTGGGACTGCAAAGGTCAACAGCAAGCTACACAAATTGGTCGGAAGCTCACTCCGACCCAGGCTGGCTTTGAACTCATGACCTTTTGGTCAGTTGTGATCTTAATGCAGCTGACTCCCAGTCAGGGGTGCCACAGTCCCAGTGATAGGATTATGATTGGCGTGAGACTTTGGATTGGCAGTTTCTTGAGCGGTTGTTCTGTCCCGATCCCTTGGCTTGCAGGGATGTGAGTGCCTGTCCCCGGAAAGCCTTGACGGGGATACTGTCGGGTATCTCTTCTCCTTTCCCTCTTCTCCTCTTCCTGCTCCGACTGTATGAATGGGAGATAACCCCCTGCTGTCCTTCCCGCAGCCCATGACAGACCTGGACACAAAGATCCAAGAGAAAGCCATGAAGGTGGACATGGACATCTGCCGGCGAATCGATATCACAGCCAAGCTGTGCGATGTAGCGCAGCAGCGCAACTCCGAAGACGTTTCCAAGATCTTCCAGGTGATTAGGTCCCCCTCCGTCCGGTCCTGTGTTAGGGAAGGGAATACAGAGATAGAGAGAAAGGGAAAGCCGCTGTTTTGGATCTCCAGTTTCAGGATGTCCGCTCGTCGAGTGCAAGTCTATCTCCCTGAGCGGATTACAGAACACATATAATCAGCAACAAAGACAAACATTACACAGACAGAGGCAAAGGCATTCATCTCCGGCATCTGGAGACTGCTCAACTTCCAACTTATGGGGAAGTGTTCCATTTTCCATGCCGAGGAGCTGTTGT